TTGTAAGTCTAAATAAAAAGGTTCTGCCAGAAATTGGTTTCTGTACTAGGTACTAATAACACCTAATTATCTGAGTAAATACTGAAGAAAATGTATATACCATGTGTTATGACATTGAATGAATATTCATGACTGATTTATGGTCATTTTTATTTATATTTAACATTAATATTTTCCTACAAAAATATTTATTTGTATACATGTGTAAGACATGCCAAGGAGTGATACAAAATCTGAACTTTCAGGTACCATCACTTACTGTGGAAGGCACAACATTACATATGTTTGATAAAGTTAAAGTGAATGTTATGTTAGATGATACCAACATCCAACATCAGAAAATTCGGATGGTCCTGGTAGAACCAAAGGTAAGGCACAGGGGTTCATAGAGCCATATTACCCTTCAGTAATGTTTAAAAAAAGCATGCAGTAAACCTGAAATTTAACCCGGAAGGAAAAGCATAAGTTACCAGCAGCCTGTAATGATTGTTTCATCTCTACTCTCAGTAAAACCCAGGTCTGCTTTCACTGGCTCTTGTGAAGAGTAGAGGCCTCTAAATTAAATTTCCATTCTGGGCCCATCAGGGATATTTCTACTGATGAGAAAGATGATGATTGCTGAAGCAGTATCTTGAATTTCATGGTTCTGTAATCAAATCTCCCTTTTGAAATTCTGCCAGAACTCAGTAGGTTCTTCTTTTTGCTCCAGTAAATTGCAGTGTAACTGTGATGGGTGGCTCAGAAGAAAACTATAATTGCTGGCTATCAACAGCAGTTATGTCTTACAACTTCCACAATATAGTAATTCTTTCCTGTAATGTCCTAGTGCTGAATGACTCTGGTCTTAAGACTTTTCAGCTCTGACTTCTTAGTGCATCTGGGACAGCATGGTTTTCATACCACAGGCCTGCTGAGTGTTTTGCATGCTACTTACTACAAGATAGTGCCCTCACAGTAATTGCATTTGACTTTTAGTAAACAGATGGTTGCAATGCAATAATTGAGTATCCTTAATCATGGAGAAAAAACACAACTCAAAAGCAAGACACACATTATTTGTTTTTTCCCAAACACATGTAAATATTCTGATCTTTGGGCTATTATATTAGCTTGAACCATAGAATGGTTTGGATTGGGAAGGATCTTAAAGATCATCTATTTCCAACCCTCCTATTATGGGCAGGGACATCTTCCACTAGACCACATTGCTCCAAGCCCCGTCCGTGTACCAAGCTGCTCCTGCTTGTGAAGGTCCTTACTCTACAAGGAAGTAAATACTATCATTGTAGTTTATCCCTTGATGGAGGACTGGCTGTACTGGTTAATGCAAAATACTTTGTCATCCTAAACAGCATGCAGTGATCACTCCCTTTGTGTCCATTCAAAGGTTCCAGCAACTAAAATACTGTCTCACCCAGAGAGACACATCTCTGTCAGTTCTGATTCCCACATTATCTTGTGAGTTCTGTAGCTCACTATGTATGAAAAGGTACTTAACCCTTCAATGGTTTCAAGCATGAGGCACAATACTGTTACTCAGCTGGTTTGGGGGGGGGGGTGGGGGTCAAGGCCTCTTTTCACCTCTCATTTATACCCCCTGCGTGTGCTAGGTAAGGCGTGGCACCCTGGAATCTGGTACAAAAGACCTGCTGGCACTTTTGGCAGGAGGAGTGCTGCTGCTTGGCTTTGCCTTTTCCAGCTTTTACTAAAGTTCAGAATTCTAGCTGGAATTGTTCTAAGATAAGCAGAACCTGTTGTAGATGATTTTCTAAATCAGAAGTTTCTGATGTTGACACAGTGTTTGTAAAAGATCTGTACAAGTAAATTCAGGTTTTATCATGATAGTAAAAAATTCAGTTAAAATTGTTCTGACTTCTTTTCTTACTGTAGATACTAGGAAATGATGTGCCTGCAGAGGAAAGCAGCAAGAATGAACCAGAGAAAAAGAAAAAGAAGCTACAAAAATAACTGGATATACAAGTTAATAAGTCACATATCAGTTATTTGCCTTTACACATTTTTCCCTATGGGCAAGATGCTAGAAACAGGTTTTATTTACTTTTTTAATACATTTTAATTATCTGTGAAATTTTTTTAAAGCCACTTTTTTATGACTATGTATGCAGAACAATAGTTTTAAAACCAAGTACAGCTACACCTTTGTCTTGTGGGTGAAAATAAATGTTTCTGCAAAGTAAGGAATAATTGTAGTAGTTTTTTTAACAACCCTAAGGCCATTTGAAAGTCACTCAGCAGTGCCTTCTGTTTAGCACCTTGGAACTGAAAGGAATCAAACAATGTAGGTGTGAAAGATATGTCTTTATTCAATTTCACTGCCTTAATTTACAGTTAGACATGTTAAAGGACTCTCATTAAAATCACTAAAAAATAATGTAAACAATGACAGTTTTGTGCAACGTGTGCCAACCAACACATTAAGAGCTACAGAAACAGAATGGTCAAGTGATTTCCACGATAATTCGCACAATAGGTTTCTTCTACTGATCAGTTGTACAAGCATTATAAAAAATATGCATGTTCTGATAAAATAAATATTCCCCATCTAACTGAAGACTACAAAACAGGACAGGACATAATACAGGCAGTTTAGTTGGGGAGATCTTTAATTCTCACACTCACCCTTCTATTACTTCTCCCTTACCTCTAAGAACATATTAATACAGGGTAAAATTAAATGATTTAGTGATTGTTTTTTTTATTTGTGAACACTTAAAAGCCTCTGAGCATATTATAAAACATAAAATTTAAAAATATAACCAAGTCTTAATTATACATACAATGCAGAACAGTTCAGAAACAGATCATAAATTGGACTATGCTGTTTCTCATCTTCCCCTTAAATTAACATTCACTACATTACTAGTTTTAGTAATCACTCTTGCAAAAATAAATCCTTTGTACAGTCCAGAAATATGAAATTCACCCTTTCAAAGTGATTATTATTTGAGAAAATTATCAGGAGAAACAGAAAATACACAAATCATACATAAATCTCATGCAAGCTGTATCTTGCTTTTAAGTGACAAAACCGACAAGCTAAAGCTGAGAACATTTTCAAGGCCCTATTCTATGAAATTCATCTTCCAGAAGTACAAGTTAATTTCCTCCTTTTAACAAAATTCATGCCTTATAAGTTATCAATTCAGTGTTTCCACCTTTCAGTGGGGCACTGTTTCAAGATGATAAAATAGATAACTGAGGATGCTAGACTGAATTACTGTCAATCCAATACACATCACAGAAATAGTGATTAAATTGCTAAAAAGTAAAAATAATTCATGTTGTTTTCTCCTTAGAAAACAAGTGAACGTCTTTTTTGCATTTATTTCTGCAATGTGAGAACTAAAACCAAGTGATGCTTTACTGACAGTAGAGAAGTTTCCCTTTATATGCATTTTTCAGAAAGCCTTCACTGGTGAATGGTTTATGAAAGTGTTCTATTCAACACACAAGTCTCAGGTCTTACACATTGACTTTAATGTCATGTGCTTCTGTTCACACCTCCCCTCTTGAGATCTGAAAGCAACAGACAGCATTTTTTTCACATTTAGGTCTGACCAAGGGTTTCAGGCTTAGTGTGCCAACAGCTACACATCAGCCCCCATCTATGACTTTGGTACAAGTTGTTCTGTGAGTTGTGGAATAGAACAGAAAGCAGAACTTCTATCCAGTTTCCTGGTACTGGGCATCTCTGACTACTTCACCTGGAGCATGTATTAGAATGAACTTCTCTTTATATTAATCCAACAAAGTTTACTTCAGAGCTCTACATATATAGAGCCCAGAAATCTCAGTATTTTCCTTATCTCTTCTTGCCCTCTTAGTCACCAGGGCTGGAAGATTACCACATGGACTTTTTTAGCCCTATTCATATTTACAGATGGTTCTTTACAACAAATGCAATCAAATTTAACTAAATCTGATTTGATTAAACAAAGGGAGGTCTGGGCCCTCCTCCAACCATTAATTCAATTCAATGGCTTTCTTGAAAGTGTCAAGGCTTTGTTTATATTAATACTTTTTGTAGTAAGTGACATAAAAAAAGTTAATTATATTTCTGTAAGCAACAGAGTAATACTGGGAATTAAACATGAGAGAAGTGTAGTGGTTTACTTTAATAGAAGGAAGGCTGTATTATTCTCTTAATGAGGTTCTGACGCCAATTATCTTGTTGCACCTTCTTAGGTTCCTGCCAAAAGGTACTGGAGCATCAGTTTGGGCACAATTGGGAGACACTGGTGGAGTCAGGTGATGAACTCCAAGATCAACACTAATACAATTACTAAGGGGACAACACTATCATTTAATTTTAAAGTAAGCGATAATAGATTTTACTAAAGTACAGAGTAAACTTGACAGATGCAGTTTTCTGTTAAACCAAGTGAAAAACTGTTTAAAGACCTGCTTAAACAGCTCTTTAACATAAAGCTTATTTTATATTACTTAGAAAACTAAACTTTGGGGTTTGCTTTCATTGCACACCCAGCAGTTCATTTCTGTACTAGTGCTAGTATTCATGAAGCCACACAATACATCTGATCAGGGAAAAGCAATCCAAATCAAAACTAACACTCGCTTTTTCTCTCCTGCAAAGAAAAATGTCCCTCATGCCTTTAGGAGAGTCAAGTCTTAAAATGTAGGTGTTTTTGCAGTTACATTGCTTCATACTCAAGTTACCCCAGGCTTGCCCTGTCTATCCAAAACATTCATCTGGAAGCTGAAGTTACATCCAGACTCTAAAGACTATGCTCCTCATGGAATCTACCCTAATCACAGAAGGAACACAATTCTGAAACAAACCAACCTGACTGTTTCTCTGTATCAAGTCTAAATGCCTTAATTCTCAAAAATATTCATACCAATAAGTTTGTTAATAAGACCTGAAAAATCCCACATTATTTAAAAACAATACATACCAGACCATTTATTATATTTGCATTAAAAAAGCAAAACAGTAGGTATAATCCAGGTAACTGAGGACATATATAGAAAAACCTATTAGACAACACAGTTCTCCATCAGAAAACTACATACCACTGTTGTGAAATCCCTGAATTTGATTTTCATTTGTATGTTTCCAAGCAGATAGGTTGCAAGTTGTGTTTTGACCACATACTGTACTATGCGGTTTTGCTTTTTGGAAACAGGATTGCTTCTCCGGAGATGTAGCTCTCAGCAACTGATTGTCCTTATGGCTTAAAACTGAACACTCCTAGGTGAACAAAGAAAAGTTGATTTTAAAACAGAATTCGCAGAAATTATCAACCCCCCCCCCCAAGATCCAGACTTACTATCTGCAAATTTCAAGTACAATAAGTACCACCTCTCCCCTTCTGAAATAAGAAATGAAATAACATCCGGAGATGTAGCTCTCAGCAACTGATTGTCCTTATGGCTTAAAACTGAACACTCCTAGGTGAACAAAGAAAAGTTGATTTTAAAACAGAATTCGCAGAAATTATCAACCCCCCCCCCCAAGATCCAGACTTACTATCTGCAAATTTCAAGTACAATAAGTACCACCTCTCCCCTTCTGAAATAAGAAATGAAATAACATGTCTACACAGATC